AAAGGGCTTATTACTTTTGGGTCAGTAAATACATCCAAGGAGCAAGAGAAAAGTGGGGAAGAGGCTGAGATAGAAAGACCTTGGGAGACTCTTTTATTTAGTGGCACATCCAAATGTATTCTGTCCTGCAGCTAAAGATCTTGGAAGGTTAAGCTCTGCCTCAAACACTTTTGGCTTTTTCTATCCACATGGATTTGCACATAGTCCATTCCTTCCTGTGCTACTACTTCAAGCTTTCCATATCCACTTACATTTTCATTATTGTTGGATTAGTAGGATCTGACCCCAACTATGCCTCTGTGTGCCTTTTTATTGTGTTTATTGGAAGTAAACGGATTTGTTGGAGAGTCTTCTTTGGAAAATTGAAAGTGGATTGGCTAACGTAATTGCAGGCCCCTTTCACACAGGATTCCTGTGATGATGGTGATGTTGTTATATTAAAATTTTTGAATCCAGTTCTACATCACAAAATGTCAGTGTGTTGTATATATGAAACCAATATTAATAGATTATAACAATATAAAATGATAAAAATAATTTAAATACACGGAAAAATAAACTAACAATATTAAACATGTTAAGAAGTCACAAGATAAAAAGGTTAAAATAGATTAGTTTAATGTCTTGAGCAACAAAGGTTTTGGTACACAACCATGTTTTTATTTGGTGCCGCAGTGTAACCAACAGCAATGACACCAGGCAGGCCCCTAATAGGAAGTTGTTTGATAACTGGAGCGCTAAAGCTTAAAAGGCCCTCTCCCGCATACTGTCAGAGTATTTCAATCTCACCAGTGGGCACAGAGACATCTCCTACCCAGAAGACCTCAATTCTTGGGCAGGCATATAGTTTACTATGGTATCCCTTCTGTGGATACCAAAATAAATGGACACTCATGGCACACTATATATTAAGGCTTAGCAAAATGCTGACCCTTATATAAAATGGTAAAATCAAGATTTGCCTTTTGGGAATTCTTTGGTGGAAATATTTTCAAGCTGTGGATGGTTGAATCCATGGATGCAAAATCCATGGCTATGGAGAAGCCATCAGATATAAGAAGAAATGCTTCTTCAAATATCAACATTTCAATTTAATAGTATAAGATAAGCATAAATAAAAAGAATCTTCTTACAAGCTTCAACCAGTTTTAGGGGCTGGACCAGGCTTGCACAACCTGTGCCCTTCCAGGCATTTTGGTCTTCAGCTCCCAGAATTCCTGGCCATTGGAACTGCTGGGTGGATCAATCCATTCCCTTTTATTTCCTTTCTGATTTTTTTTAAAATACACATATACTGGATTTTTTTTAAAAAAATGCCCAGTAAGACCCCTAAGCATTGGATCCTATCCTGGGAGAAAAGCATGATATAAATTTCATACATACATGCATCCATACATACACCTAAATGTAATAAGCAACAGGGTTACCCCTCCTTGCATTATTTTAAAGTATTTATGGTTCTGTGCCCTTCTTACATCAAAATGTGGCAATTAGAGCAAAATTTGTATGATAAAAGGGACCTTTTCAGCATTACATTATGTCTGCCATTTTGGGTGATCAGAGGTGATGCGATGTCATTCCTGGTCACTCAGCAAAGCCCTTTACATTTGCAGATTTGATTAAAATGTATTCTTTAGGTCTTCCAATGTGACTCTATAGTCCATTTCTGCTGGAAATTGGCCATAGAGCCATGTTGAAAGACCTAGAAATTCTGACAGAAAACACCTCTTTAGGAATTTCTAGGTCCTCCAGTGTGATTCTGTGCTTAAATTCCAGTTTTTCCAGTTTTGCAGTGATCCTAGTGAATGTTAAATGCTGACTGTAATTTTAATTGTTTTAAGAATTTGTGGTGGGCTTATGTGGAGCTTTTGTGAGATTCTGTACATTTTGGAAAGGTCAGATTGGTCTAGCAAGTTGAAAAGCCACATGAGATTGTCTCCAAGGGCTGTTTGCAGCCTATTAGACACTCTGTTCCCATCTCTGAATGGTAGATAGTGTCATTATTTTAACATGTTTCAAATAATTCATTGTTTATGTGCCCTGATATATCAAAGGTTGAATTGCCAGGGTAAAAACTAGGGAAAATGGTAATGTAGAAGAGAGAATTTTAGGAGCTGGTGTTTCTAAGACAACCAGCAAATTAATTCTTCTATACACTCATCAAAAGGCATTTAAAAGAATTCAGGGACTATGTTCTACCCTAAAACCCTCTGTGAGCCACATAGGTTTTTAAAAAATGTAATTGAATTATTTTAATTGTTTTTGAAAATAAAAACCTGACTTGATTTTATGGGTTTTGAATAATTATTTGCCAGGAATTATGTTGATGCAACAGTTTTAAGAGCAAAGGGGACATGATTGGTTCCTTCTAATAGGGGAAAACTGTTGCCCTCCTAAATTTTTCCAGATGAAGGCAAGGGCATGGGATCCCATGACTTTGGGGGCTTTGGGGGTCACATGTGCCCCATGATTTGCACACCCTTTCTGGACTAGAAAGGTGAATGTTATAGTCTAACCTTATGCAAGACAAGCTTCTTGTGTCAACTTACGTGTGGGGCATTGTTTTAACCAGAAATAATTGAGAGGAAACTATTTGAATAAATATGTGCTTGCACAGTACACAGCCCATTTAATCTTCAAAGGGTTTCATAATGAATTCTCCCAGCCCATATTGTAAAGTGGTATTGCTGGTACAGCAGATGAGAAGAAGTTTTCTCATGGGTATAAGTGTTAAATCCAAGTCTGGATCCCGGATTTTCTTTGAGGAATAAGGGCTGAGCCACCTTGAAGAGCATGGGTTAGGGGCACATCAGGATGTTACAAGAACCATAGCGTCTTTCTTCATAACTCTATTTGCATGGATCAGGTTCATGCAATTACAGTTGTTGCATCATTCTGCTGAATGACTAGCTTGTTTGAGAATGTTTTGATGCCACATGTTAGGGTTGCATCCATATAAAGCATATACATAACAAAAGTCCTTCTGGATTAGATCCAAGACTGGTTTCCCACAAAGGCCAAGAAGATTATCTCAGGAATCTAGAAATTATACATGAACACAATTTCACACTCTCCTTTTTATACCATTGAGATCTATATCCTTCTCAATTTGTCTAATGAATTCCCCTTTAAAGCTGTGTAAATTGGTAACCATCAGTACACCTTCTTAAACATGGCTCTACCCAGCATGGAACTTAGAAAAATTACTAAGCCTTTCTGACACCATGATCAGGACAAACTGGAAGCTGTAATGCTACACAAACATTTCTAAGCTCTTTTCCAAAGTTACTATCAGCCTTGGCCTTGCATGGACCAAATCTCAAGCTTTCCTCATAATCATGCATTAAATTTGGGGATTTATGCTTGCCATTATGTGAATCCCATGTTATGGAGGCAGTGAATCCATGCCAGGTTTCAAGCCAAGTTTTAAAGGAGTCTTCCAAGATTCTGAATCCTGTCTCACATAGTTCCAGCACCTTGGAGAGCTGCTATAAAGCTAACCAAAAGCTGGAGTGAAGCTACCAGCTATCAGCAGCTTACCACCTGCAAACTTAAAGCAAAGCATAAGGCATGGCTAGTGATAATTCAGTCATTAGGTGTAGAGTCTTTTACAAGGCATAATAATAATAATAATAATAATAATAATAATAATAATAATAATAATATCTATTTATGTCTCCATTTTGTTACTAAGTACAGCCCCAACAAGATGTCATGGCAGCAGCTTTTGAAAACGCCCACAATAGCCAAATCATAGGTAAAATAGCATTTTCCAGAACCCTGGCAGCTAATGTGTTGACTCCATGAAGCAGGACTTTTTCTATAGAAGTACTTCACTTATACAACTCTGTCTCATGGGAAATCAGCCTGACCCCATCTTCCAGCTGCTCTAGTGAGCAGCTGGAAGTTCAACTGGATTATTCTACTGGCATTTGGTCTTTACAACTTATTTACATTTTTTAAAATTGTTTTAAAGTGTGTTGTCAAAAGTATTCATGGTCAGAATCACTGGGTTGCTGTAAGCTTTTTGGGCTGTATGGCCATGTTCCAGAAGCATTCTCTCCTGATATTTCGTCTGCATCTATGTCTGGCATCCTCAGAGGTTGTGAGGACCTTACAACCTCTGAGGATGCCTGCCATAGATGCAGATGAAACAGTATATAGCCAATTTGAGATGAGTCAGGAGTATTACTAAGTTCTCTAGTGTGCCTTTCAAGTTTATTACAACACATTCATGACTTGGGTCCTACAGGACCATTGGGAATGACATACAGCATGAGTCACAGGAGTCATGCAGCTAGCTAAAACAGTTTTGTCAAATGACAAGTTGTTTTGGTAATTACTACTGATTTTCTTACATCAGAACCTTGTCCTGCCTACCATAGATGAGTGTCGTTTTTGTGTGTCATCAAAGCTTTGTGTGAAAAAGAAAGTGGACAGCATAAGATCATTGAAATCTCAAGTAATTCTTACTCTTACATGTTTGGAATGAATAATGGACTGCGTTAAACTGACATCATGAAATGCAGTCTAGCCAATATGGAAGGAAATACATCCTTGGAGGTTTTGGTTTTTAAACAGAATCTGGGTGATCATCTGTCAGGATTGTTTTGATTGTATATTCATGCATGGCAGGGTATTGTACTAGATGTCCCTTGTTGTCTATTCCAACTTTATGATTCTATGACATATGGTGACCCTGTGAATATATGACCTCCAAGTGTTCTTGTTCTCCTCAGTCATGCTGAAGCCCTACAAGCTTAGGTCTTTGTCTTTCATGACTTATTCTTTCCCTACTGCCTTTCATTTTCAAAAACACATTTCTTCAATGGCAGTAGGTCATGACCCCTGGTAGAAGTTTTCTCCTACTCCCCTATAGTCTTTCCTTGCCCCGTGTGGCCTGTGTCTTCTAACGGAGGGATTATAGTTCTGCCATAGAGTGCTTTGCAGATGTACAGCTCAAAGGCATGGTTGCCAATATGTTGACTTTCATTTGGCAGTGGAGCATGACAGAGAGTTCTACCACCAACGCAGCCACCATCGGGAGTTCCGGTTCGACCTCTCCAGAATCCCTGAGGGTGAAGCGGTGACTGCTGCTGAGTTTCGGATTTACAAGGACTACATCAGAGAACGCTTTGATAATGAAACATTCCAGATCAGTGTCTACCAGGTTCTCCAAGAACACCCGGGAAGGTGAGTAACTGATGCAAATACACTTGTCTCAACAATGATGAAAAACTAAGAGCAACCCTTTCTAATCCCTTTAGAACCATGTTCAGCTGCTTGGATTGGCCACTTATTTGTTCATATTGATTTGGCATCCATGATGAGACTCCGCAAGCCAAATTTTTGTGTCTCCCATTGACTTACATCGGGAAACCAAAATGGGAATAATCTATTGTTGTTTTACATAAATGCATAATATCTGGAAACATTGTAGCTCTATTCTCAGCAGGGAAACCTTTGCTTTGATTTACATAAAAAACCAAAATGAAATGTCATTAAGTTGAATGTTCAGTCGTGTTCGTTCATTCTGCTTTCTTCACTCCTGTAGCTCTGATATGTGCCCACTACTTATGACATAAAAAGCTAACATTGACTCATATCTGCATCATCTACTTCATTGCATATGAGTAACTAAGTAATGTCTCTTAACCTGATTTTCACCCAAACTTACTTTACCAGGCATCAGCTGCACTGAAAAATGGAGTTATGTTCAGGTGGTTATCAGGGTGCAGGAGAATGACATTTCCACCCTTTCTGCCAGCCAGTAAGACTGCAACAGTGAATTGCAACAGGGATCCTGCTTCTGATTGTTGTAGCCTTGCTGGCTGGCTGGAGTGGGATAGGGGAAGTATTCCTTTGTATTTTGTTTCTCAGCTGAATACATCTTCATCTCTCAGTGCAGCTGCTGCAACTATCTCCTTCAAAACTGTCCAAGGTTCAGAATTCAAGTACAGCTGGACTGAAAACTAAGACCAGAAATAACCATCCACCCACCTATCCATCCAGTTGTCCATCAGGTACATCTATTACTTTATTCATGCTACATTTTCCCCACAAAGCTAGTTTACAAAATAGAATTCTAAATAGGAACTTCTATGGTTAAAACATACAATAAGGCATTATTGAAATAGTATTAAGCTAACACAAAAGTAAAATAATTTGAAATAAAAATAGCATAACATACTAAAAAAGTCATTTTCCTCAAAAGCGATTGGTTCCTCAATGTCAGCCAAAATAAAGTGTTCAACTGCATATGAAAGTCTGGGGAAGAGGTTGGATATTAGAAAGACAGACAGATAGGAAAGACAGCCCAGAAAACTCACAGCAACCCAGATAGGAAAGAGGAAGGCAGTCTAACCATCCTAGGAAGAAAATTCTGGAGTCTGAGAGTAACTGCAGAGAAGAACCTTTTTCACATTTCCACTATTTATTTATTTGTCGTGTCAGGACAACCAGTCAAATTATATTACATTTCTAACAGAACAAAGCAAACAAACAGACAAAATACAAAATTTGTGAGTTTGGTAGTTGATTAAATGTCCTTTGACCAGTATCTGGCCACTTGGAGTGCTTCTGGTGTTGCTGCAAGAAGGTCCTCCATTATGCATGTGGCTGGGCTCAGGTTGCATTGCAGCAGGTGGTCAGTGGTTTGCTCCTCTCCGCACTCGCATGTCGAGGATTCCACTTTGTAGCCCCATTTCTGAAGGTTGCCTCTGCATTTCATGGTGCCAGAGCGCAGTCTGTTCAGCGCCTTTCAAGTCGCCCAGTCCTCTGTGTGCCCAGGGGGGAGTCTCTTATTTGGTATCAGCCATTGGTTGAGGTTCTGGGTTTGAGCCTGCCACTTTTGGACTCTCGCTTGCTGAGGTGTTCCAGCTAGTGTCTCTGTAGATCTTAGAAAACTATTTCTAGATTTAAGTCGTTGACGTGCTGGCCGATACCCAAACGGGATGAGCTGGAGATGGCTCTGCCTTGGTCCTTTCACTATTTGCTGCTATATTTCCACTAAATTTGGGAGTAACTGGTGGGCCTGAGAGAAGCGCAACCCTTGAAGAAGTGGTGAAAGGCTCAGCAGAGAGGTTCATATAAGAAGAAACAGCCATTCAGATAGCCAGAATTTGAGCTGAATAGGGCTTTATAGGTCATAGCATGTGCTTTGAATTGCACCTGGAAACAGACCAGCAGCCAATGGAGTCATTCCAACAAGGGAGTGATGTGCTGCCTGTAACCATCCCCAATTAACAATCCAGCTGCAGCTCTTGGAATCTGACGAAGTTTTCAGACAGTCTTCAAAAGAAGCCCCAAGTTGAGTATGATATAATAATCCAAACAGGATGTAATTAAGGCATGTGTCACCATGGCCAGGTCAGACATCTGTAGGAATGGTTTCAGCTGATCCACAAGCTTTAAGTGCCCCTCACCACCTGAAAAACCTGAGTATCCTAGTTCAGGACTTGAACAGGTTCATACCCATATTCTGAATCTGTGTTTTCAGAGAAATACTTCTGTCTTGCCTGCATTAAGATTCAATTTATTTGCTATGATTCAAAAGTGCAGGTAAGGTTTTGGAGGCTTAGCAAAAATTCAACTCTTGTCCTTCCTTTTTGTTGTAATTTCCTTATGTGTGTGTTTTTTTTTGTGTGACACTACATTACATCAGTTCAGTCCCAGTTCCTTCTAGCTAGACCAATCCACTCTGTATTGGCTTTGAAGGGAATTGGGTCACGTTAGATAAACTAGAGTTGATTTGGATCTAATGCAGTCAACTCATTATTTGAACTGACCTGATTCCATTTGACATTTTGGATTTGTACAACCCAAATCAGTTTGACTAAATCAAATCACTGGTGGCCAGAACAGTTGTTTTAGGCTTATTTTTAAATGCATGTATATTACATAGGGTGACATCACTGGTCTGCAAGAGGAAAGTGTATTTTTTTTTAAACTTACTGTATTTTTATGTCATGTGATATGACAACTGTGTTTGAGATACTTCGCCTGAGAAGTCTGCTAGGAACAATGGAGAACTGACAGAATCAAATTCACTAATGCAGTGGCAGTTGATAGAGTAGGTGGCCAGAATTGAGCTTATTTATTTATTTATTTAAAACATTTTTATCCCGTCATTCTCAACCCCTGAGGGGGGGGGGGTCTCAGGGCGGCTTACAACTGGCAACGATGTGATGCCACAACATACAAAAACAGCAACCACACAATTACATACTGAGTAAAAACATTAGGTTAAAATCTATCTAAACATTATTATCAACCGTATAGCCATTTCCAAGTCCTCTTCAGCAACTAAAGACCCAATTTAATTTAAAGCCTGTCTGTAGTCAATTCTCATACCATTACCTGTGCTGTCATGCTTGCTGCCCAAATACCTGGTCCCAGAACCATGATTTAAGCTTCTTCCTAAATAAGAGGAGGGATGAAGCCGACCTAATTTAGCTGGGGAGTGAGTTCCACAGGCAGTGGGCCACCACCAAGAAGGCTCTGTTCCTCGTCCCCACCAGATGTGTTTGTGAGGATGGTGGGATCGAGAGCTGGGCCTCCCTGGACGATCTTAGACTCTCGGGAGGAAGATAGAGGAAGATACGTTTGGACAGGTAACCTGGGCTGGAACTGTATAGGGCTTTATAGGCCAATACCAGCACTTTGAATTGTGCTTGGAAGTGGACTGGCAGCCAGTGAAGCTGACACAACAAGCTAAGAACACGAGGAGCAACAGAAAGTTGCATTACTGTGTCACTGCCTCAGGTGTGAAACTCAATTCAACTGTAATAGAGCTACTGTGTTGTAGGAAACTCATAAGGTGTGATAGTGATAGTGAAAGGAGAAAGGGAGGAGAGAAAGAGAACATAGCACCTTTAGGACTGTACTTTTTGTTTTTTTGCATGAACTTTTTTGGATATATACCCACTTCTATGGATGCAATAAAGAGTTTTTTCATAGGCTGTATCTTGCAATGAAGTGGGTTTATATTGATGAAAGCTCATGCAACCTTGCCCATTACTGGGCTGGGCTTGTTGATTTCAAAACAAGATGAAATATCTTATTTTCTCCTTGGTTTAATGATATAAGTGGCACAACTTATTGACTAGTGTTCTCTTTAATTTGATGTTGTGTTGTGCCTTCAGCCTTATGGCACTGGATTAATCATAAACCAAGCCCATTTAGTTTACTTAGAATGGGGAAAATAGGAAAGAGGAAATGGAACAAGTGAGCAGCTTAACTGGGAAGGTGTTTGGTGTTCATAGAGTCTCCTCTTCTAACCTTGGGGGCTGGAACAGGGAGTATTAATCCGTTATTGCTGTAGAGTAAATCATTGGACACCAGGATAGGAAAGTTCCGAATGTGTGTAGGAAAGGCAACTCTCTTTGATCTCCCATGCTTTGGAGGGATTTCCCCTTCAGGCTGACTGTTTTCACAGGACTGTAACTAAACTACAGGAAAACAAACTCATCCCACAATTTTCCAGCCCTGACTCATGGTGTGCAATGGGATGTGTCATGGGTTCATTTCAGCTTGGGATTTTCTTTTAAAAGGCTGGTTTCTTCTGAGTACGATTTATAAAATAATAAAAACAGTAGCTTTAATGAATTGTGGTTTGTGGGTGAACAAAGATGGTTGACTCAAGTGGCGGAGTAAGTCCTTCACCTATGGAAATTCCACATCAGATGCCAATATGCAGGTCTGATAGCCGCATTTTCACATCCCTGTTTCCTGTGGGAACTGCTCAGTTTCAGTTTGGTTATCACTTGAAAGGCTTACAGAAGAGTTTCAGCAGCAGAACCCCATCTGACATGCTGTGTGGTCTTCTTGATGCAAACCAGTTGAAAGGCCCCCAGAGCATTGTCTGTTTCCGGGATAGCTCTTGCCAAGGCTGGATGAAGGTAGTTGAGGCCTTGATGGGGTTCTGAAAAAGAAGGTACTTGTATGCATGTGGACCTCTTTCTGGGTCCTATAGGGCCAATTGATATATTGAAATGCAGTTGCTCTCTCTCTCTCAGCATTCACACATTAACAACAACACAATTTGTTGTCAAACTTGACAGGATGTGATTGCAGGACTCTTCTGCCTAATGTATTGCAATCTATAGATGCAAATGTTAAAGCCCTAAATAGAAAAATACAAAATAAAAGCAAGTTTGTAGGTTCTTTTACATTCTATTATGACCTATTAGCCCAATGGGCAAAGTCTGTGTCTTGTACAGCACCTGGTTTTCTCTTAGGTACTTCGTAAATGACAACAAAAATGGCAGTAGTAATATTTACATTGATGGTTAGGGCTGTTGATGAGAGAATGTCTTGGAGGTCTCTTGTTCATAAAGTTGCCATAGGTTGGGGCTGCAGCAGCAGCAACAACATTTAGATAAATGTATCAACAACCAGATACTGTCTCATGACCACACAGATGGTCTTATCTTGGCCATTGCTGGAGCCAAACCAAAGTAGCTGGATATGGAAACATCGATGCAAAGTATTCACAAGATCCTCTGAAAATGCCAGCTACAGATGCAGACGAAATGTAAGGAGAAAATACTGCTGGAACATGGCTATACAGCCCAGAAACCACACAACACTCCACTGATTCCTGCAATGAAAGCCTTCAACAATACATGTTTATAAGGTATTTGGCAAGACGTTGTGTGCAAGTTAGAAAAACAGGCCTATAAATCAAGTTGGCATGTTTGCATATTCAAACACAACACTTAGATATTGTGGTTGCACAAACAACCACAATATCTAAGTTTATACATGTTTGGTACACATGTGCTATAAAAGCAACATCATTTACATGAAACGTTTTGTTCACCTTCCTGAGTGAGACAGCCAAGACCTTTAATAGCAATAGTCTGTGGTAGTCTGCGGTAGTGTAGCAAGATGTTGCATCATTATCCTGTTTTTTTTTCCTATTTGCACAAATGAAAGGCTCAAACCACCATGACTTGTATTCTCCTGCATTCATCCCCAATTACTTATCCTTTCAAATTTACTCATGTCCAGTGCTAAAAAGCAAGGTTCTACCATTGCAGGAACAGAGATTCCACCTAACCATTAACTTTCTAAAAGAGCTATTTAGCAGTGTTCCTGCATGGCAGGGGGTTGGACTGGATGGGTTTATAGTATTTTCCAATTCTATGATTTTGAAAAACAAATCTTATTTTTACTCTTTTACTACTGTAAGATAGAAATTATACAACAAATCTCACATGAGCAAAAACCTGCTTTCCATTTGTTTATCATTCGTGGCAGTGGGAGGAACAAAGTGGGAATAATGGGACTCCATGTATCAGCATGTAGTTTTGTTGTTGTTTTTTCATTCAATCATTTCTGACTCTTTGTGACCTCATGGACCAGCCCATGCCAGAGTTCCCTGTTGGCCATTGTCACCCCCCAGCTCCTTCAAAGTCAAGCCATTCACTTCAAGGATACTATCCATCCATTTTGCCCTTGGTCTGCCCCTCTCCCTTTTTCCTTCAATTTCCCCCAACATCATTATCTTCACCAAGCCTTCCTGTCTTCTCATTATGTGGCCAAAGTACTTCATCTTTGCCTCTAACATCCTTCCCTCCAGAGAGCAGTTGGGCTTTATTTCCTGGAGTATGGACTGGTTTGATCTTTTTGCGGTCCAAGGCACTCTCAGAATTTTCCTCCATCACCGCAGTTCAAAAGCGTCTATCTTCCTTTGCTCAATCTTCCTTATGGTCCAGCTCTTGCATCCATAAGTTACTATGGGGAATGCCATTGCTTTAACTAAGCATGTAGTTTAGTCTTCATAAATTTGGTATTCCAGGTAAATGTAAATATTATATTGCTAAAATTAGAATGCAATAATGAATTTTTATTTAAAAATGTAAAGCAGTGAAAACAAATCTTAGCTGTTTTAAAAGAACTGGAATCCCAAACATATTATGATACAGAAACATGGAGTGATTTACTCTTATAAATACTGATGCAATAAAAATATTAACCCAACCAAAGACAACTTAGAAAATGATCTCAAAGAGATAAAACACTCATAAAGATATTCTAAAGCAACATTCAGTCTTTGATACCTATATTTTGGAGTCCATGAATGCCAAATTTCCACTTAAACCACAGTTTAATTTCCGCAGGGGAAATTTGACCTTCATGGAATCTACAATACAGGGTGATACTGTTTTAGGAATTTTTAATGGGCTTTAAAAATCTTCTTGATGTATTTTTCTAATTGGTCTTTCTCCATGTGTTCCACAGGCAGCTTCATTATTTATGTTGCCTTTCTTGTTCTTCTCTGGAAAAAAAGTCTGCACCACTCTTTAGGATATTGTTAAAACATTTGGTTTGTATTATGTTAAAATCTTTATTGTATCACTTCTTGTAAGAAAAAATCACCATACATTTTTGTACTACAATAGGTGTTTGTGTTCTGGATTCCATTTTTGTGATTGTTGTATAATTATTTGTTAAGATATATTTCTATTGCAATGTCTTGTGGCTAATTCAAATAAAGGCTCCATCCCTCTTTGCTGGGGCAGATGTTCTTGTTGTTGCTGTCCATTCGTTCAGTCATTTCCGACTCATTGTGACCTCCTGGACCAGCCCGTGTCAGAGCTCCCTGTCGGCCGTCACCACCCCCAGCTCCTTCAGAGTCAAGCTAGTCACTTCAAGGATCCCATCCATCCATCTTGCCCTTGATCAGCCCCTCTTCCTTTTTCCTTCCATTTTCCCCAGCATCATTGTCTTCTCTAAGCTTTCCTTTCTTTCATGATGTGGCCAAAGTACTTCACCTTTGCCTCTACTATCCTTCCCTCCAATGAGCAGTTGGGCTTTATTTCCTGAAGTATGGACTGGTTGGATCTTCTTGGGTCCAAGGCACTCTCAGAACTTTCCTCTAACACCACAGTTCAAAAGCATCTATCTTCCTTCGCTCAGCCTTCCCTATGGTCCAGCTCTCACATCCGTAGGTGACTATGAGGAATACCATTGCTTTAACTATGCGGATCTTCGTTGCTAGTGTGATGTCTCTACTCTTCACTATTTTATTGAGTGGTCATTGCTCTCCTCCCAAGAAGTAAGTCTTCTGATTTCTGGTTGTAGTTGCTAGGATTTATAGTTCACCTAACTCCACCAATGACGGAATTGAACCAAACTTGGCACACAGAACTCCCATGACCAACAGAAAATACTGGAAGGGGTTTGGTGGGCATTGACCTTGAGTTTGGGAGTTGTAGTTCACCTACATCCAGAGAGCATTGTGGACTCAAACAATGATGGATCTGGACCAAACTTGGCATGAATACTCAATATGCCCAAATGTGAACACTGGTGGAGTTTGGGGAAAACAGACCTTGACATTTGGGAATTGTAGTTGCGTGGATTTTTAGTTCACCTACAATGAAAGAGCATTCTGAAACCCACCAATGATTAAATTGGGCCAAACTTCCCACACAGTACCTCCATGACCAACAGAAAATACTGTGTTTTCTGATGGTCTTTGGTGACCCGTCTGACACTTTCTTGTGACCCCCTCCCCGGGGTCCCAACCCCCAGGTTGAGAAATGCTGCCTTAGAATAAGGGTGGGAAGAGTGTGTCCCACTGAGATATTGTTGAACTCCATGTCCCATGTGGCTTCTTTTCCAAACAAAGCATTAGATTTATATCTGTTATACGTTTAAAACTTACTATTTTTTATTGTTTTGTAAACAGTCTAGTTATTATTATTATTATTTTTAAAAAAACCTAATGTGGGTAAAATATGTACATGTCTATGTATGTATGTATTTATAACAATGACATCTCTTCTAGCTGTGTTCCAAGTCCCCTGATGCTTAATATTTGGATTTACCTTTTGTAAGTTACATTTTTCTGGTGATGGTTTTGCTAATATACCCCCCCCCCCTTTTTTTTTCTAGGGATTCAGATTTATTCCTACTTGATACTCGAACCATTTGGGCAGCAGAAGAAGGATGGCTAGTGTTCGATATTACTGCAACGAGTAATCACTGGGTGGTAAATCCACATCACAATCTTGGTTTGCAGATATCAGTGGAAAGCATAGATGGTAAGTTTCAAAAAACAACTCAGTTGGCTCATCAATCTCTGTTTCCATTTCACCACTGATCCTGTCACTGGCCGTGATGTTTTTACACTTAACCTTTGATATCCACTTGGCAGAGCTTGGAAAGTTAATTAAATAATAATAATTGGCTACCATTATTGTCCCACCCCAAAGTGGCTAAATTACTTTTATATATATTTCTTCAATTGTAAGATGTCATCAATTGTAAGATGCACCCTAATTTCAGTACTGCCACCAACAAAAATATGTAACATCCACCTGCGATTCTAAGATGCACCCACTTTTAGAGATGTGTATATCGGAAAAAAAGTGTGACTTAGAATGGAAGAAATACAGCGATTTATTGCAGTTCTTATGTGCAAGCAAGTCAGTTTCAGGGCATAGTATGTAAATGAGAGACCTAGAAGAGAACTGCTGAGGTTTTGCAAATTAAAGACTGTTGAGTTATTGAGTTAATCACTATTATAGAACCTGGGTTGTTTTAGGTTTTTCAGGCTGTATGGCCATGTTCTAGAAACATTCTCTCCTGACGTTTCACGTGCATCTGTAGCAGGCAATATTCAGAGGTTGTGAGTTCTGTTGGAAACTAGGAAAATTGGTTATAGAACCATTATAGAACCGTTCTCCCAGTTTTCAGAAATGATTACAACCATTCCATTTATGGTGCTTTAATAAAAAATATAAATGCTAGAAACTCCTACATGATCTCCTCTCATCCATGTCATAGTGACCTCAGTATTTACGATGGAGAGCAAGATGGTACAGCATGAACCCGTGCTTGAACAATGTCACGTACCAGTGACTTTTTAAAATTGAGGCTGTAAAACAAACTGACACCCATCAAGTAGTCACTTAATATGGGTAAATGTGGTCCATCAATAAGGCACAGATATCTATAATAAAATGCTACAAAAATGGTAACAGCAGAAACAAACAATGCAAAAACAATTTTTAGTTCACACTACCATGTTAAAGTGGTTCTAGAGTGTTGATGTTCTCATACAAACTTAACTATATATATGTTCCTCATATTGTTATAACATTGCTACTAACATTGTATCAGCGGTATGAATGGGCCATTGGGTGTTACCAATCTATCTTCAAGACAATTCTTACATTACAGTAATGTAAGCCGGACATGAGTAGGATCCAACTATGAAAGCTGACCTTTCAGTTAAATGATGTAGTTGGAGAATCTGATAAGTTTAACAGTGCAGTGATAGATTCAGGAGTATTCCAAAACTGCAAATCTAGTCCTATAAGAAAGGGTGAGGACACATCACATAAAGGCTGAATGTTTCCTCTAGATACACCACTCTCCCAAACTAATTATATGTCCATTTTACTGGGATTTTGCTCAGCTTCATCCCCCAGCTTCAGAACTGTATGACTTACTGGTGGAGATCGGAATGGATGCCATATAAACGGTTTCCAAACTTAGGAATTCGTTTCCCTTCTCCAGTCCTCAAGGCAAGGGGGAGAAATGGTGAGAGCACCAACTTGAAAAAAAATGTTCTATTTGAATGGCAGTCCTTGCAATTGTGGTTGTCACTCTATCAGGCTTAGTTAAACTGGCAGGAGCAGCATCTTGTGATGTTGCTCTTGCGACATCATCTGATCTGGACTCATGTGACATCCAAGGGAATGTCTCTAGATGTCAGGTTTTGGTCCTGAAATTTAAGGACCAAAATGGTCCTGGGGTAGTCTGACCTGACATTCCTAGTCATGTGTTACCTTGTTTTCATTTCAGTCCAAATCTCTAGATCCATTTGCAATGTTTTGACAGCATTTAAAGCAGAAATTGTTAATGGTGTCTGCCTGTCTGTCTGGGAGCTTCCTGTCTGTTATCCAAGATGTAATATTCCAATTTTTGAGGAGGGGGAATATTGTAAGGACCAGAACCAGGGGACAGAGGTGGGCAAAGTGTACCTTCCACTCTTTTTTTTTTTTGCAATACTTGACACTTCTTGAAAATGTGGGAGATGAATTGCCCTTCCTGGTATTTTCTAAGAGTGGTGATTTACTTTTTTAAGTAGTTACCGGGGCCTATTTCAATGTTTTAACATTTTTGTATAATAGTTTTTAAAAACACTGTTTAAAAATCCTAGTATGGACTCGTGGCCATGTCTGAGATATAGGTGTGTACAATATGCATACATCTGTAACTATATATCTGCATGTGTATGTACCTTCAAGTTGCCAATTGACCTAATGTGATCCCATGAATTTCATGTTGTTGTTGTTCATTCGTTCAGTCGTCTCCGACTCTTCGTGACCTCATGGACCAGGCCACGCCAGAGCTCCCTGTCGGCCGTCACCACCCCCAGTGTCCAGTCACTTCAAGGATGCCATCCATCCATCTTTCCCTTGGTCGGCCCCTCTTCCTTTTTCCTTCCATTTTCCCCAGCATAATTGTCTTCTCTAAGCTTTCCTGTCTTCTCATGATGTGGCCAAAGTACTTCATCTTTGCCTCTACTATCCTTCCCTCCAATGAGCAGGCGGGCTTTTCCTGGAGGATGGACTGGTTGGATCTTCTCGCAGTCCAAGGCACTCTCAGAACTTTCCTCCAACACCACAGCTCTTAAAAGCATCGATCTTCCTTGCTCAGCCTTCCCTAAGGTCCAGCTCTCACATCCGTAGGTTACTACAGGGAATACCATGGCTTTGACTAGGCGGATCTTTGTTGCCAGTCTGATGTCTCTACTCTTTACTATTTTATCGAGACTGGACATTGCTCTCCTCCCAAGAAGTAAGCGTCTTCTGATTTCCTGGCCACAGTCTGCATCATCAGTAATCTTTGCACCTAGAAATACAAAGTCTGTCACGGCCTCCACATTTTCTCCCTCTATTTTCCAGTTGTCAATCATTCTTGTTGCCATAATCTTGGTTTTTTTGATGTTTAGCTGCAACCCGGCTTTTGCGCTTTCTTCTTTCACGTTGATTAGAAGGCTCCTCAGCTCCTCCTCGCTTTCGGCCATCAGAGTGGTGTCATCTGCATATCTGAGGTTGTTAATGTTTCTTCCAGCAATTTTCACCCCAGCTTTGCATTCCTCAAGCCCCGCACATCCTCGCATGATGTGTTCTGCATACAAGTTAAAAAGGTTGGGTGAGAGTATGCAGCCTTGCCGTATGCCTTTCCCAATCTTGAACCAGTCTGTTGTTCCGTGGTCAGTTCTTACTGTTGCTACTTGGTTCTTGTACAGATTCCTCAGGAGAGAGACAAGGTGGCTTGGGATGCCCATCCCACCAAGAACTTGCCACAATTTGTTATGATCCACACAGTCAAAGGCTTTAGAATAGTCAATGAAGCAGAAGTAGATGTTTTTCTGAAACTCCCTGCCTTTCTCCATTATCCAGCGGATATTGGCAATCTGGTCTCTCGTTCCTCTGCCTTTTCTAAACCCAGCTTGAACATCTGGCAACTCTCGCTCCATGTATTGCTGGAGTCTTCCTTGCAGGATCTTGAGCATTACTTTACTGGCATGTGAAATAAGGGCCACTGTACGGAAGTTTGAGCAGTCTTTCGCATTTCCCTTTTTTGGTATGGGGATATAAGTTGATTTTTTCCAGTCTGATGGCCATTCTTGTGTTTTCCATATTTGCTGGCATATGAATTTCATAGGGTTTTCTTAGTCAAGGAATACTCAGAGGTGGTCTTGCCAGTTCCTTTCTCTAAAATATCACCTATAGTATCTGGAATTCATTGTCATTTTCCCATCCAAGGGCTAACTAGGACTAACCCTGCTTGGCTATATGATCTGGTACCTTTAAGGTATTTGTGTATATGCATTTTGCCAGAACATGCAAAGTTTCAGGAGCAGAAAATTGGCTCCTGGATGTATTAAAGTTTTGGCCACCCAGACTGTATCATAATAGATTATAGACAGGAAGCAGTGGTATATATGGTGTTTTCATTTATTCTGGTGTCCAGCTACTTTGCCTCATGGAGACCCATGTCCTGCTAGACAGCCTTGGTTAGAATGTTTTTTGAAATTAAGCCAAGGACATTTGTTTGTATATATCAGCCATCCCTGTTCCTTTGTGTTAATGCCAACTAGATCCAGCAAGGATAGCAAAGAAAAGAAAAACTTTAAAGCCTCTTTGTTTACTCTTAGAAAGTTTGGATAAAGCATAGCAATGCAAGTGAGGCTGAAGTAATTCATTTGCCTCCGGCACTCTGACATCTTCTAAGCCACTAATGCGTTCCTCTCTGAGGAAATATATTGAAGCTACAGTTGACTTTGTAGAATTTACTTATTTTCTTGCACATGCCTTCACATCCTGTTTGTTTCATTACACAGGAAAGGAAATCTCTGTTTCATCCTTTCAGTCTTAACTCAACTACCTAAGCTTTTCAGGAGATACTATTGACTTTAATGGGATTTACTCCCAATGAGCCATGCCTTTAAGGCACCAGTTTCTATCTTATCTTGGAGACTAAGCAGGGTTGGCCTTGGTTAGTAGTTGGATGAGGAATTGGCAGTGACACCAGGTGCTGATGTTCATGCGATTGCCATAAATCAGCACATGACTTGTATACATACACACACATGTATACAGGCATGTATACATACACACATACAGACATATACACACCCTTACCCGAATTGTTGCCTTCAAAGGCAAAATAATTCAAGGAAGACAATTTATTATCGTGATGCCCTTTTCCAATCTAAATTAGGAACATGTGTGTAATCAATACGCACCACATGCAAGATTGATTTACTAGAATAATTTTCTTTTAAAAGGCTTTTTAGCTTGGCATCAAAGTGTAGGGGATACAGATGTACTTGTAGCAATGGAATGGGGATATTTAACTGGTGAATGCTGTCCTTTCTTATTGATGTTCTTTTAAATTCAATTTGGTTTCAATATAATTCATTTAACTGCATTTTAATATAGTATTTTTATCTGTTTTTAATCTTGTTGTGAACGAGTTTCATCTATGGGGAAAAGCCAGCGATAAATTAGATAAAGAAATA